CTTGTCTCTTATCAAAGTTTGGGTGTGTTCCTTAAAGATCTTTATAAAATGCAAACTAATAAGCCAAAGTCTGATTTTTATAGTACCATCATTTTGATTTTTTCTAATGTGAAACCATAAGAATTGTACTGTCAGGCCAGATATCCATCTAGCTCAGTGTTTTATCGCCAGCAGTGGTCAATAGCAGAGTTTTTTTTCAAGAAGTAAAAGGCCAGGGAAAGTTTATAAAGATACTTCCACAGTCTTCAATTTGACTTAAGAGCTTTCTGAACTGGAGATGGTGTGTTTTTTTAAGTCAGCTATGAAGATTTGAGAATTTACTGAGAAATACTATTGTTATTGGGGCATGTTTCAGTACTTGAATAGCAGACTTGTTTGGTTGACTGGTCTAAATTTCAATGCTTCTTTTTCTTAGCTACAAGCTAGCAAAATTGGAATCATCCAAATAAAGCAACATATACTGCTGCTGTTTTCTAATGTTAGTAATTTCCCAAACCTCTTCAGTGTATTTCAGTCAAGTGTTATTTAGGAGTATTTATAAAGGATAATGTTATTCTTACAATATTTTAATTTTCAAAATCAATGTGGAAACTATTTCTAGTGAAATTGCAGTGCAGTTCCATCAACCCCCTATGTTTTCTGAAGCCACAATCATTTGGGTGTCCTAGAATTTGAGCCTTGGATTCTTCACTTGTTCTTCCATCTGAGGTAGAAAAAATTAGTATGAAATGATTGGGATTTAATAGGGGGTCTGATAAGCCTTCTGAATCTAAGGAAAAACAGTAGAATGTTTCTTAAGGATTTGCAGACAAATTTACCTGGTTCCTGTTTCTCCTGATCTTGTGTTTTGGAAACACTGTATTAAGGACAAACTCAGTAAACACTTCTGTTTACTCCGAGTTTGACATTTGATCTTACATTGATTTTATTGGTTTACCACAGACAAATACAGAGCATCACTTTGTTCTACATTAAACTCAAGTATTTATATTGGCTTAGCAGAGGGAGCTGGAATTCTGGCTTGTAGTTCTGCCACAGGAAGATTAATTCTACCTAAAGATTAACGTGGAACAATCCTGCTTTGTCATTATCCCATGTATCTAGCAACATTATTTGGTGAATTAACTGAGGAGTAATCATTGCTTAGATCTCTCTATGATTAAATGTAAAGAAAACAATCCGTGCAGTTATTGCTTCATCCAGTTAAATTCCTGGACTCTTGCATTAGCCTGCATCCTTGGTCTGAGAACATGGGATTTTAATCTCTAGCATTATGGGAAGCTTTAATCACATGTCTATTTAGTATTTGTGATCTAGGAAATGTCATAACTTCATATAGCTAAGCAGTACAGAATGTAGTCTAAGGATTAGGAAAGGCAAATCTTCCTATCCATTTGACCTTGAAAATCCGATTGGATTTTCTGTGTGATCTGGCATGATTTTTCCCTAATTATCTAAAGCTTGATCTGTGTGATAGATACCAAATGAGCTGTGCAGATATGGGTAAAATTTTAATGCTTAACTTTATTTCATATTCATCTTAGATTTGAGTGCAAAGAAATGACAAGAAAAATCAGAAAAATCTGAGATAAAATGTTGTCTCAGTGCAAGATAAATTTTCAGTAATTCAGTGCCCTTGACATTGTTCATTCAAAATGAAAGTCTTATGATAGCAGTGATGAATATGCATAAAGTCTTAAGTTAGTTTGATTAACTTTGGACCATAATAGGAAAAAATCTTTTATTTTGTACTGCTATGGCAATGGGCTATGGCTGTTTATTAGAAGAAAAGTCATTTGACTTTAAAACAAATGGGGAAAATTGTGATCCATTTTGCGAAGAGTTGATTGGCAGCCTCTTATGGGTTTCAGTAGCTTCTTCAAGCAAATGGAAAGTTGATTTAACAGTGGAAGTTAGGATAAATAAAGAAATGGTTGTTCTTAAAATAGTTGATAAAAAGTATGTAGCTATTTGGGGTAGGAAAACTGATCTTCAGAGTAATGAATGGATTTCTTTTAATATTTACTTTGGCCACTTCAAGTTGAGTGCTTACTAGAGCAAGAATGTTCTATGACTTTTTTGTATTAAGTAAATCAAAATACTATAGAACTATGAGTGTATCTAGCATTAATGAAGATACAGTCAAATCCTTCAAATACTGAGTTCAATAACTTATGTAAGCTGAAATATTTAGGAAATAAAAATAACAGTGTATTGATCTCTGAAGGAATTTACGCAGCTGGCTCATCTGAGGAGTGTTATTGAGATATTGTTAGAACTCTGCTCTTAACTCTTTAAATACATATTAACCTTGACAGGTCCATCTGAGACATCTGAATGTTCCTGAAACAAAACTCACTTTTAGGTGTAATATTTCTTGGCAATTTGTAAGAAGGTCCTTAAACCATTGTTTGTTCATAAACTTGTGGTTCTAATTTAAAATTCCTTACTACTTCTAGAAATGCAATTTTTATGAAATTAAATTTTCAGGTGGGTGGGGGATTGCAGTTGTGTACAATAGTATATGACTCAACAGGAGAAAAATTTTTAGCTTTACCAGTTCATAAAAACATGGTGGGATTTGTTACAGGTACTCTTATTTTGTAAGTTTAGTTTACTTCAGGAAAAAATCCTTCATTTTAACAGTAATTATAACTACTGAAAACTTCTAAAGATCTTGTATCAATGTAGCTACCAGGAGCCTTTGCACTGATCTGTTCCAAAATACTATAGCACAGTGCATTAATTTTTAATCATAAACGGAGTTGAACTCTGCTTTATCTGAACAAATTCTAGTCCTAACGTTTGAAGTCAATACTAAATGAAGTCATATTAAATTTTGTTGTAACTGCATTTGCTTCAGTCATAACAAAGTAGATGTATTTTTATTACAATTTTAATATTTGGTATTTCTTGGTGTAAAATGTTGCTAAAGAACAGTATACTTCTGATCAGTTTTGTGCTTTGAGATTTATTTATTTGCTATACACTGTTAATGTATAGCAACTGCAGCATTAAAAATCATGGTCGTGTCTGTTTTCCACTTGTAAAACATACAAACCTCTAAGTATTTAGTCTTGTTTTCCAAGAGAAATCAGAGCTTTACCATAACTGCCCTTGTTATATCAGGAAGCAGGGGTGTTAAAAGTAGCTTATTTGTATTTTTATTTGTATTTGAGTGCTGTGATAGTACTACACTCTTATGTCTGAATGGGATATTCAGAAACTTTGACTTCTAAAAAATGTCACCTGCTTTGAGTGGGAACAACATGCCCTATAAAATTTCAGTCTTTCACCTGGAAATGAATTTCAATGTAACTTTACCTCTATTTGCCCATAATTCTCTAGTCCATAAAGTGACATCTACAACGAACATGCGAATTCCATTTTTACCTGGATTCAGCTGTTAAAATATGTTCCTCAGTAGTTGTCAGCCAGTAGGCTGAGGGGTTTGGAGGTTTTTTCTGAGCATGCAGCAACATAAAGGACACTTCAGAGGAAGGTTGCTTTGATAGGGCTCCTCCAGAATGTTTACATTACTGGAATCAATATGAATCAAACTTCCTAGGGACTTTACAAGAAGATTTGAAAGTATAGCTGGGGAAGGCTTTTCTTTCAAGAAGCCTTCACGTAGTCTTAGGGTAGTTTGGCTTTCTTAGTTCTTCAGTTGCTGAACATTAACTTGAATAAATGCAATTGTATTTATTTCCTGTTCTGTGCTAGGGAGGTGAAAACTTGCACGGAAGACTGGAGTTTCAGTTATTGGGAAAGATGTTAGCATCGTCATTTCTAATGTGGTAAATGGGAATGGACTGGTATTCATTAAACAAAGCTGCTAATGATGCATGGATTTCTTAATTAGTAAGAAACGTGTTGGTTTACTACTGTTTTTCATTGGAAGTGCTTTCAAACTAAATTGTCTTAAAGTGTACCTAAAGGATGCTTTGTCCTTCTATATTTTTGATGGGTTTCTTTGCACTCAAAAGTTTTTGTTATTGTCTCTTGTTGGCATAAGATCACATTCCCACTAAAGAAACTTCAAGGTCTTGATAAATGTCACTAACTTCTACTGGTTAGGTAGAGTGTAAGGTGTGTAAGATTAAGATGTGTTTTATTGTGGAAAAACTAACAAGATATTTGAAGATTTGGGAGGACAAATGCTAGGTGTCCATAGAAGAACTTTAGTTGCACTTCTGAAATTGGCTGGATTTTGGTATGTCCTGTGCTAACATGTTTAACACTGCGAGTCAGTGTGCTGGACTCCAGTCCAGCAAAGACTTTGGGCAGTGCTTCATTTTTAGTCTCCTTTTATGCTGGAGACTAATGTTTCCCCACCAATGAAACACAGTTTTTCATTAGCACACTGGAGAGTCAATATTTGGAGAGAGTTATAATGAAGAATCAGTTTTGTATGTAGCTCTGGAATGAGTATCATGCAGCCTGGGTTTGAACTTCTAAATCTCATTCCTAATTCTGTTGTCACTGGTATAACACTAATCTCAGATTTTTGGGTATGTGCCTCAATTATATTCCTGAAATTTTGAAAGATTGGTTTGACACTTTCTCATAAGTGCCCTGTAGACAACCACCATTAAAACTCTACTTTGTTTATAGTATAGAGGGATAAAATAGTCAAGTATTAAGCTATGCTGTAAGTTTTTGAATTTAAAAGTGAATAATGGTATCTAAGAATAGTTTTTCCTGCTTGACCCATATAAAATGTAAATGTATCCTAAGTATTAAGCTAAAAGCTAGCATTTAAAATGCTTGCAATGCTAATTCAGGGTGCTGATATGAACATGAGTATTAAAAAAGCCTGAAAAAGCAAAACATGGTTTACCCTATTGACCTATGTAACTAATTATATGTATTAATTACACATTAATGTCATACAGTATTAGTTCTCAAGTTTTTATTTTATACTGCCTTTGAAGATTCTCAGCTTCTAGATTGTTGTATTAAAGTCAGAAAATAACTAACTTTTTTCCTTTAACAGAAATTGAAAAATTCCAAAAAGGGGAAGGAAAGGAAGAAGAAAAGTATATTGATGTAGTCATCAATAAAAATATGAAGTTGGGACAAAAAGTTTTGATTCCAGTAAAACAATTCCCTAAGGTAAGGCCAATTTTCATACTTGATAAATCTTAAGTGCTCATAAAAGATACTCCACTAATATCTTAACTAGTTTTTTAGCTGTTACATTTAAAATAGTATTAACAATCTCCACTATTGCTGTTTTGCAGACTGTTCTATAGAAGTTCTAAGGTAGGAATAGCTCTTGTTGGAATACATGTGCAGGACTAAGGTAAGGCCAATTTTCATACTTGATAAATCTTAAGTGCTCATAAAAGATACTCCACTAATATCTTTTAACTAGTTTTTTAGCTGTTACATTTAAAATAGTATTAACAATCTCCACTATTGCTGTTTTGCAGACTGTTCTATAGAAGTTCTAAGGTAGGAATAGCTCTTGTTGGAATACATGTGCAGGAAAGTGGTGCATGCTGGTCACACAGAAAATAGTATTTTGAGAACAAATGATAAATGAATCATATTTTCAGGATAGCAGGTTCTTCTGAATAGCAAAAGGAATTAAATATATTTAAGCCTGATGCCAGCTTTGAAACTTTCTTATTGTTGGTAGAAGTGCAGCTTAAAATGCACCATTAAAGGAACTCACTGTGTAAACTTTTTCTCATCCTTTTAAGTTTCAGCCATTGTTAGTCTTGAATTAGTTAAATCTGCACTACTAAATTATACAGTCTATTCTGGAGGAATAAGGACTGTTTTGTTAATATATTTGACTGCCATGAATTCTTAACACTTCTTTACTGCCAAGTATTATCCTGCACTAAAATATTGCTACCTGGAAGCATTTATTCAACATGTAATAGGCTGTGGAACTTTAACTTTATTCTTTTGGTCCCTTTTTAAATTTTAATGTTATGAAAATCAGATTAGCATTTTTCCACTTGTTTGAAATGGCTTTTTCTGCCTACTAGAAATTTCAAGACTGCTTCTGTTTCTGCTTATGGAAGAAAGGAATTCCTTCATCCTTTCCTCCATTTCTTTAGGAAGACTTTTTCTGAACTTTTTTCCACACTATCAGCATTTTTCTCAGACCATGCTGGGTAACTTGCAGGGATTGCTTTACTGTTGTTCAAAGTTTCATAAAATACTGCTTCAGTGAATTCAAGATTGCATGCCACTTATATGTGAGCACCTCTTTGGAACTCTGACTTAAGTCATCTTTATGACTGGGAAGAGCTGTATACAAACATACAGAAACATAAAGATGTGAAGGTAAATGGGGAAGCTTACATGGTCAGTGTTTGGAATCAGATGTTTTTTATAGATGTTGAGATGGAGATACTTGAGCTCAATGGAAAGGAAGGCAAAATGAATATTAAAAGGAAACAGTGCCTTTTGAAAGATGCTTCTGCTTCTTTACATGGTGTCAACTTTCTTTAGAATCATAGAATCATTAAGGTTGGAAGAGACCTCCAAGATCGAGTCCAACCGTCAACCCAACATCACCATGCCCACTAAACCATGTCCCTAAGCGCCTCATCTACAGGTCTTTTAAATACTTCCAGGGAGGGTGACTCAACCACTTCCCTGGGCAGCCTCTTCCAATGTTTAACTACTCTTTCAGTAAAGAAATTTTTCCT